AGATTTAAAAACACAAATTGGTGAAGCAAGTTAAACCTTCCTGCAACTGAATAATAACTGCAACTCAATATACCTGTTACCTACAACCGGAGCCAGAATTTTAAAACAAACCTTAAAATAGTTCTTTTATGCGAAGCTGAAACATGGAAAACTACCATCACCGTCAGCAGAAAGGCACATATATTTAAAAGCAACTGTGTATGCAAGATACTCCAAACACATTGATCAAAGTCCATCAGCAATAATTTATTGTGTCAAGGAACAAATCATCCGCCAATCGGGAAGGAAATAAATAAAACAAGTTGAAGGTGGATAGAACACACTTTTGTAAAACCATCAAACTGCGTCACAAAACAAGCCATAAGTTGGAATCTTGAATGGAAAGGGGAAATAGACAAATCAAAGAATCCATGGAGCTGGAAATCGGAGGTAGACATGATGAAACTGAATAACAGTTGGCAGTGTATGGAGAGAAATGCTTAGGAAAAAGTATCCTGGAGATTCCTGGACATCGCTTTTTATCTCAAGGGGTGTAGCAGACTTAAAGAGAGATAGAAATGCATCAGAAGTTAGCCGAATTTCATCGAATATTATTGTTAATTGTTAGGATAAACTCCTTTTCTGTCAAAAATTTAACTTCTAAATCAAATATTGATCCCTTACTAGTGATAAAGTTTGATTTATTTTCCAGTAGCAAGAAAAACATAATTTCAATGCTATCAAGAAGATGATAAGATCTTATACCTTTCGATGATTTGTTGTCAAAGTACTAGTCTTGTGGCATTCCCGTTGTTCAATTTATGCACCGATCCCTTTCGATTTTAAGGCCTCTTAATTATCAATAGATGAATACATCCTATAATATAAGAACCTACATAATTTGCCTCTGTTAAATGTATTACAATTTACTTTCACAAGAGAAGACGAGATCAATAAATGTCTACGTAAATTACAAACTATCAATTTTCAACCTATAGTTGATGGACAGAGTTTATTTGAGATTTAAAACAAGTTTACAACTTAAATATCAAAATATTTTATTTATTCATTATTTGAGGACATTTCAATATACTCGAAGAAATATATTTTAGACTAATTAGTACTTTGGTTTGTACATGAGCTCTTACCAGAATTTGGGTTGTATACGATAAGGATACTAAATCTTTATCCTTCCTAAATGAATTTACTTTATTAATCTGATTGAATGGAGAATTCTATATTGTACCAAAAAGATAATATTGAATAAAGCCATTAATAATAATAATAATAATAATAATAATAATAATAATAATAATAATAATAATAATAATAATAATAATGATAATAATAATAATAGTAGTAGTAATAATAATAATAAATACCATGCACAGTTTTCTCTCTAGACAAGTTTATATCTTTATCTGTTCAGTTTTATTTCAGATTTGAATTATCCAGTAGTTCACTATTTTATGCCAACAGTCATCAAGTATTTTGGTCAATGTACAGACAGCATGGATCTTTTTTCAAATATTTTAGATAAACAAATATGAATTGAGTGAAACTTTAATTGTTTTAAAAGAGCATCTCGACTGATAAAATAAATTAAACAGCTGTCTTATAGTTATTAGAAGCAGACACATCCTTCAATACAGCTTTTGTAGTGAGTTTACTGACCTAGATATACGTCCCTATTTATTAGGGGCAGTGTGAAATAAACGTTAACCCCTCTTCATTAGCTTCATGGTTCATATGATACTGATAATTCTCACAGACGTAACTTACATATTGTTGAAACTTATTCTGATTCCAGATATATATGCCATGAACCCAAATTCTTATTCTTTTTTATTTCAATGTCATTTTCCACATTTTCAATAATAGCTGTTCAGTTAACATTTTCAATTGTTAATATAAAATTAATATTCATTGACAATCACTACAGGCAAAAATAAAATTAGTTCTCTTATTTTCGCGTAAGACGAGACGTCCCGCCTTTCTTCACCCTATTTCAAAATATTTGCATATGCGCTAGTCTGTTTCCCTGCATTATTCGTATTCTTTTTTCTTGTTCTATCCATACTTAATATTCAGTGACCAATGGTTACAATACATAAAACTAATTTAGTAGTTATTATTAAAGGAGGACAAGACATAAAATTTTATACTACATAAATAGGTAAATATCGAAGCACTATGATAGATTATATTACAACTTTTAGTATTCCGCGTATATATCCATTTATGAAATTGATCTTTAATTAATTATAAATTATTGTTCACTATGGTAACGTTGAACTACATTATAAAGTAGAAACGAGTTGGTAGTAGGCTAAAGATAGAATCTCAAATCACAAAATTAAATCAATACGAAAATAGATTTGCATACTATTTTCAAAGTAAATTTTATTATGAGATGGAATAAAATGAAGAAATACACCAAAATACATAATTTCTTTTATGAATGCCTATGATCTGGTTTACAGTATTCAAAACAAGCCGGATTATCATAATATACCGTTTTAATTCTCTAGCGTAAATATTATGAGAAATCTCTAAATAAAATAAAATATTTACTTTAATAACAGAATGGTAATAACTACGTGCCCGTTTCGAAGATAACACTTATATAAACAACAGAAATAGTATTGTGAAGACATTAGAAAGTTAACCTACTGAGCACAAATATGATGTTAAATTCAGATTTTGCTCAGATGATAGTGATCTGTACATCTGCTTTTCATTACTTTTGTTCTCACTGAAAAAATAAATGGAAAGATGAAGCTGAAGGTTATGGCTGATGAGGTAGACTATTCAGACTAATGTTTGTTAAACTTAGTAGGATACATATATAGAAATCTAAAATGACTCTAAATTTATTGGTGTCAAAATTAAATTGAATTCCGCTACCAACCTATTACGGACATAATTATACACTTTAAATTTTGAGCTAGCCATAATTAATCTAGTCTTTCGATTTTTATGGTGACAATTAACATAACTGACAAAGTATTTTAGTGCAGTGAAGTCTTGGCTACTAATAATCCGGTCATCCTAATGCATTTACGAATTATAAGTTCTTGTTTTTACAAGCAATCCTATGCATATTGTGGATTTTTTTCTGTAATGTTAAGTTTTCTACTTTATACTTAAGAACGTAATATATTGACAATTTAACAATTCCAAAAGCCTGGAACATTTCAGTTTCACTAAACAGTTTCGTAAAATGATTGTCTATCAATAGAGGGCATGAATGAAATTTATTGTCATGATGAAGAGGGGTTCGTGAGGATTATTTTAGTTTGTAATTGCTATTTGTCACAGATTGATCTTAGTTGGAGTACCATCGGAAGCCCGAGAGCACTGCACATCTATTTCACCCTAATATGGAATCTACTATGGCGAACATAAACAATTCTTGTGGTTTTGATTGGTTGATCTGACTATCTCCATATTTGTACTTCTCTCCTTATCTGCTTTTAATTAGTCACTCTGAATTGATTAGTGTCCAAAAGTCATTCTTTCATCTTGCATACTTTAATTGTCTTTATCATTTTAGCACAGTCTAATGAGGGCATATATATAAAGCAAGGTTAGGCAAAACTTAAATGTTCACCTTTATGGAATCGGTGTACAGAGTTGCAACTGACTGCATGTTGAATACATTTTTGACCAAAAGACTGGATTGAAATTATGATAACCATTACACTAACATGAACCAAACTACTAGTTTTTGTTTTTCTCTGGTTACGTAAACTTGAGGTAACTTTTTTCTCTTCACATTGTATTTTATGGGCTATAGGAATTTACTTTACATTCATCTTTAAATAAATAAGACATAACAATAACAATATATTTCTGACATAGAACGTGTGCTTACTTTCATTAGCAAAGTTCTTGCAATAACAAACTGGTTCCCATATCCATATTAAACATTGAGAACTGAATAAATATTTTAACTTAGTCTACTAACCCTCGTCTACTGAGTAAGTAAGAACTCGTGTTTTCAAAATCCAGTCCGACTTTCCTACTTTATGCTATGCCGTTGGTTGGCCTAGGAGCTAACATTAAAACTAAAATGTAACGGAATATAAACCAAGCCTTACGAGTGCTAATTTTATCCTAAATCATCAATGCATAAACGACGGGTACGATCAACAGAAATGATCAAAATCAAGCTTAAACATTCGATAAAATGACATACTGCAATGTTTTGGATGGAGTTTTGTTCTTTGCGCTGGATGACTTGTGCTGATGATGTTGTTCAGAATAGCAATGAAAGCTCCACGACCAAACCAAATAGTAATAATAATAATAATAATAATAATAATAATAATAATTATTATTATTATTATTATTATTATTATTATTATTATTACTAACAAGACGAAATCTCCTACCATGCATCTTATTCACACGATTAATTGTGTTACTATTATATTGGTTATGAAGAATCATTCTGGCCGTTATTAGATAATCTTTCTTGTTTACAAATAACACAATTTTGAAGTATTTATGTCGTAACAGATGCAAAAGTTTGCCATTTTCAACATATAGCATTGTTAAATACAACCTTCACAAATTCACATACTGATAACAATTATGTACATACTAGTGACTAGCTTGAAGATGGGTTTCATGGAGTTCTAGTGAGAAGTTGTAGCCAGTGCAGTCCAATACGTGTCGGGTGGAAACAGGTATCCACTTCAGACAATGAATAAAAGGTTGTACGACATCATGAATTGATTGAAGTTAGACATTAACATCGTTGAATGCCAGCTCAGTGGTCTAGAGGTTAAGTGTTCACGCGCGAAACCAAAGGTCCTTCATGGATGTACACTGCTGAGGAGTCACATTCTAGGACGAAACGGCCGTTTAGTGCCTCCAGATTCTCAATAGCAATCTAGCCTAGATCGACTGATCATTTCAACTGTGAAAATACTACGATCTCCACACATCCCAGTATTGATAAATTCATTAATCCAGGCTTTATTTTACCCTTTGTAAAATATCACAATAATTATGGACTTATAAATTTGTTCGCTCAAATAATCTTTCTGTGAATATTTTATGGGGATTTTTAAACTGCGTAAATATATGAATTGATAAGAGTTAAAACATCTCAAAGCGACTACTCACCTCCAAGTCTTACATTTCCAACCCTCTAATTCAAAATGTTTGAGAGTCTTTCTTAGCTTGTTTGCTCTGAGGATTTTTGATTGCAATTGCTTAAGACCTATAGTTAATTAATCAATGCATCATTTGAAAATGTTTCTCGATTTATACCATTATGTAAATATTACTTACTGAATACATTGTTTTATGATTTTAGAACTTGACTTTTGATTATACATTTTGCTAGTCGACATGGAATAAATAGTATAAAAAATTATTAAACTGCTAGGTACAGAATATCGTCAAATTGCATACTAATCTTTCAAGTACAAATTATTGTTTCCAAGTAACTGTTATGGTTTTCAGTCAGTGAAATAAAACAGAATGCCTGAAATTTCTAAGTAATTATTAATTTTCCTTGGTTGAAATGGATTTTTAAGTCTGAGTCTTAAAAGAATTACTTTTCAATCGTGTTTCTGCTACCTATCGGTTAGCGTTAAAAACAACTATCTGTTCAACATCTGTAAATTTGATTAAAGAATTCATCACATAAGCATATCGGATTTATCTGTGGATACGAATGATATTTCTTAAGTTGCGTACATCTTGCAAACATCATCCAATTTCTCATATTTATGTGCTATTAGTAGTTCGTGTGGAATAAGCCGCCATCTTGTCAATGTATTATTACAAATTAATTGACCCAACAACATAGGCGATATCGATAAAAATGTTTAATCGAGGATTTCTAGTATGTCCTGACATTAGGTAACACTTAAGCCACAACTAACTAGTAGTCTTTCGTACACATGTGATAGTAATAATATGAAATAATTGATCACCGAACACTAAGGCTACATTGGTATCTAGCTTCAGTTCATTTTTGTATCAGTTGGACATAAAATTTATTGATTTTGTAAAGTTGTTTACTACGGACATCACTCACTGATCGATAAATTGTCATTCAATTCATATAAAAATTGTTGTTTGTGTGTTTGTTTTTCAAAATGAAGTTCTAATTATTAGACTGATTACCATGTTATCTAATTCTCACTAATGGCAAAAAGATTAAATTTATTGTCACTACTTGACTGTACCTACTAATCATCAGTACACAAAATATAAATATTTTCGAATAAACTATGCAAAAACTATTGTTCTACATTTAAAAGGTTTTCTCCATTATATTTAGTATGTTTGTTGTGCTGACACCATCATAAGTCGAATACAGATTTACATTATTCACATATGTAATTGAATGAGCATTTCCTAATTTTTTTAGTGACGGTAAACAAGTATCTATCTGTGTGCTCGCATGCGCTTGGTGAGAAATGCTAAGAAAAATTATAATAACAACAATTATTATTTTTTAAGTTGATTCCAAATCAAAGAGAACGGAATTTTGAGTCTTGAGTGCTATCAATCGATAAGTTCTTCATTATAATAAAAGTGATGGCTGAACAATCGTTGGTACATAGTTTTATATCAGAATGGGGGTTTGTGAAGATTGTAGTAATCTTAATAGTTAAATTCATAAGTCGATCTAAGCTAGACTATCATTGAAAACCTGGAAGCACTGGATGACTGTTTCATCCTGGTATGGGACTCCTCGGCAGTGTGCACCCATGATCCGCCACGCGGGACTAGAACCCTAGTGGCTAGCTTGAAGATGGGTTTCATGGAGTTCTAGTGAGAAGTTGTGACCAGTGCAGTCCAATACGTGTCGGGTGGAAACAGGTATCCACTTCAGACAATGAATAAAAGGTTGTACGACATCATGAATTGATTGAAGTTAGACATTAACATCGTTGAATGCCAGCTCAGTGGTCTAGAGGTTAAGTGTTCACGCGCGAAACCGAAGGTCCTGCGTTTCAGATAGATTTTTCTTTATTAAGGGTTATAATATTAAAAATTATCACTAGTTAGTTTTCCACTGGTTCACGGGTTAGTGGTACAGAATATAAGTAAATTGACCTGCTATCTCTTTAATGGAATTTCTAAGTTCGCATAATTAGCACATTTGTTTTCTGAATTGCTTTTCCACCGTTATGAGCTGACAGTTTCGGCCGTCACTAGCTATCCTTTTGAACCAAATCTACTACTGCTACTAACTTTGATAGCGTTCATAATAATCAAGGCTCCATATCTCTAGTAATTATCACAATATAGATGAAAATCTATTTTAACAACTTCATTTGTGTTTTATGTGTTTCCCATTAGAGTTCTTTTGTTTTGTTTTTTTATCTTATAACCGTTAATGCTTTGTCGTATTGTTTCGTTTGTTTTGATTTCTTCCTTTTTAATTTTAATTTTTAGTTGAAAAAACTATCTGAAACTATCAGATTTGTTTTACTGATGTAACATTTTACATTACCGTTATGATTTACAATAAATTATGTTTGATTTTATGTTTAGCATTCAAATGGAAAGAATGTTTGTGAACCCCCATCTTCACTATATAAAAGAAATATGAATCGTCCACTATGTGGAATAGCTTTGTTTGGTCCGAGTGAGTAATTTCTTTTTTTTAAGAATTTCGAATCCTATATAACCTGTAAACAGAATACGCCCATTGAGACATAAAATAAGAAAGATTGGCTCTGCGAAGGGTTCTCTTTTCGAACAAGTCATGTTCCAAGATGTACAGTTGTAAATGTACACTTATTTTTCAAAATGATAATAATAACTAATAACGATAATAAAATTTTGGTAAATGATAATTCTGCCGAAGCACATAACTATACGTGAAACAGTAGTTCGAAAAATAACGATTGGTCTAAAGAACGGTCCAATTATTGAGGAATAAACCTAAATTGGTTGGAAACCTCAACTCATGGGATATCTGCGAAGATCAAAGACTTTGCAAGTCTGGAAAGAGAAAGGACTTTTCTAATGATAACATAACCAGTAATGACAACACACGATTGTGTGAATGACAGATCTTGAGAGTTATCAAAAGTTTATCAAAAATCAAAATGGGAACAAAGAGCACACGAATGTGGAAAATATTTCATTAAGAAAAAGATAAAAAGAATACAAATAAATGAAAATGAGTATTACAGTGGTTGAAACTTATCATAAAAATAAATATTAATTGCTGCCTACACCTGGTACCCTTCGTAGAGGAAATAGGCTGCCCACTCGCATTCTCCATCCAACTCTATCCTGGACAGTTCTTCTCACTTGCTATTCATTCTTTTGATATCTGCTTCCAATTCCCGACGTACTATGTTCTTTGGTCTTCCTTTGCTCCGTTTCCCTTCACGATTCCCTTCTGATGCAATATGTTGATTTCCTCAATAAGTGTCCAATCCACTTTCAACGTCTGCATCAGATCCTCCTCGTTCATCGGTGCTGCTTCCCAGATACGTAAATGTTTCCACATCTTCCAGAGATTCTCAACCAAGTGAGGTTGAGTTGGTGTTCTCTGTGTTATATTTAACGATCCTGCTTTTCCCCTTGTGTACGGTGAGGCCTACTGATGCAGGGGCTGCTGCCACACTAGTTGTCTCCATCTGCATTTGTTCTTGTGCATAGGACAGAAGAACCAGGTCATCTACGAAATCCAAATCGTCTAGTTCTACCCAACTTGTCCATTTTATTCCGTGCTTCCCACCTGATGTCGAGCTCTTCACAATCCAGTCAACTACCAGAAGAAAGAGGAAGGGAGGCAACAAGCAGCCTTTTCTGACTCCGTTCCTCACTTGGAATGCATTTGTCAGCTGTCCTCCATGCACCACATTGCAGTGTAGTCCGTCGTATGAATTCCGGGTGATGTTGATGATCTTCTCGGGTTCACCATAATGTCGTAGGTGTTTCCATAAGGTTCTCCTATCCACACTGTCAAATGTTTTCTCATAATCAAGGAAGTTGATGTATAGTGACGAATTCCATTCAATTGATTGTTCGACGATGATCCGTAGTGACGCGATTTGGTCTGTGCACGGCTGATCCTCACAGAATCCAGTCTGTTGATCTCGAAGTTGAGTGTCTACTGAATCTTTTATATGGTCCAGTAACACTCTGTTGGGAACCTTTCCTGGTACTGATTGTAGTCTGGTTCCTCTGTAGTTCTCACATCTGCTCAGATCTCCTTTGTTTGGTAACTTGATGAGATATCCTTTCTAGTCTGTCAGCACTTGTTGTTCCTCTCAAATCTTCCTTAATAGAACGTGGAACATGTTTGCAGTTATTCCGATGTCTGACTTTAGTGCTTCGGCTGGTATATTGTCAGGTCCTGCCTCGGTTGGGGCACCACACACAAACCAAGTGACTTGTGTGGGGCATATGTATTCGGTGCCCCGTTGTACCAATATTTATGTGTTCAAATAAATATGTAATAAATAATTGTCAGGTCCTTCTGCTTTCTCACTCTTGATTTGTCTGATGGCCATCCTGATTTCTTCTATCGTTGGTGGAGTGATATGTATAAAAAGATCTGTAGGTGCTGCTTCGATATCCGGTAGATTTGTGGGATTATGGTCTAGTTCGCTATTAGTACTGCTATAATGATAGACCTAATCCTAAAATTGTAGACTTTTCATGATGTGACTACCTAATCTATGATATCTTCCGTGGAATCCTCATCATTACCTTCACTGACTTGTCGCACCGCAGGAATCAGCAGCATAACGTCTAGTGCTTTTGAAGAACACTTTTGGGCTAAAGATAGAATAATATATTTAATGTGAGTAAAGACAAGTTATGCAGACTGATCACATCTGCAAGGCTGGGCCATGCCATCTGATTGAATGAACGAATGTTCCCGCGTTCTCCATCGTTAACCTTCTCCTCGTGTCAATTGTTGAATATAAATCTTTTCAGTAATTATACGCTCGGCTTCAAAGGTCGTGTGGTTAGGGCCCAATGCCACTACAGATTCAATGAAACCGGTCTATTCAAGAGTTCCTCGAAGTGTTCCACCCTTCTGTTCTTGAATCTCAGTGATTGTCCTGCCTTCCTTGTTCTTGACCAATCTCTCTGATTTCATCGTTTCTTCGTCGTGTCATATAGTTGTTTCATATTTCTTTCTCTTGCAGCTTTTTCGCTCTCATTGCTAGCTCTTCCACATATTTCTGCTTGTCGGCTCTAATGCTTCTGTTAACTTGCTTATTCGCTTCTCTGTATTCAGCTTGTGCCTTGACTTTCTCTGTTCTGGTTCAGTTGTTGTTAGTTGATGTCCTCCTGTTCTTTCTTTTTTGAATCTTGTCGAGGGTTTCGATAGAGATCTATTCCTTATGATGATGCTTCTTGCGGCCCAGCACCTCCCTTTCCAGTTGTCCTCTATAGTAGTTTCTTCTGTCAGTAGATCCTGTAAGGTGTGGAACCTGATACCGAGATTTATCTTGAATTGGTTGAGTTTTTCAATATCTCGTAGGAAGGCTGTATTGAACCTTTGTAATGCTGTTTCTCCAATTTTCTACGGGATGGTGTTACCGACCCCATTCCCAACCCCCCTCCTTTATGTGGGCTTGTGGTGGGCAGTAGCCCTAGAAGAGCTACAGGAGGAGTTAACAATAAATATAGTAAATTTAATAAGTGTATGTAAATAATTTAGGATATTGCATGACAAACTTCCATTATATCATACGCCTAGAAATTATTAAAAATAGAACTGTTTATTGAATATGAACAAGTAGTACAAAGCGATACACAAAATATAAGTCGGATGAGATGAGAATATTGACGGAGATTTCTGACTAACTTAACAGTAACAGTGACGTAAAATATATAAAGGCATGAAAACATTATTTTTACTAAGGAAACCGCCAAAAATGCTGTTTTTGATAGCTCCAAGGTTCATTCTGAAGATAAACAAAGAACTATAATTGGAAAGGGAATGCTCAACGTCATAAGGATCATAGAAACAAAAACAAATTAGCTTTGCCTTAAGGTTTATAGAGAAGATAAGTAGGGAGCAGATGTCTGTGAGAGAAGAAAGAAGAAGGGACTTGCGAGATATTGAGACTATGGTAGAAGAATGGATTTTACAAACTTCTTTTTTACGCAATTATGTTTTTACATATATGTAGCAAGTGCTTCGGCAATACTAACACGAAGATAATTGTCTTTTGAAGACACCTACTTACCTTGTAGATGACTTTCACGCAGAGCCGGTTTTCATTGAATGACGTACGCTTACAAGGTGTTAGATTATAGAACTTCTTACTAAGCCATTTCCTTCTGTTTTCAGTCAGGCGGGGTGATTTTTTGGATAAAATACACATCGGACGACCTATATACCTGGTTCCGCATGAACAGGTAAATTGATAGACTATCACTGAACTTTGTTTAGCTTGAAAACAATAATCCAAGGGTTTCTGCGAAGATTGTTCCATTGAGAGAGTTGGAAATTTCTCTATTCAGGATGCCTGTAGCTTTGAAACCGACGTGCATATATAGGATTTTCTTCAGTACGGCAGCTATCTGTGCGTTCGGAGGTCTGTGTTTTATGTTCTTGTTAATAAAATATTCTGTGGATCTCCTTTTTTGATAAGCATTTTCTTTTGGAGCTTCAGTTCATTATCTATGACCTAGGGAATACATAAACTACGCTTTAAACTAATGGAGACCCACCTGTGAAAGCTTGATAGCGTAAATTGATATTCCTATAGTCCCATCGTACGTCCTTGTCATTTCAACACCAAGAAAGAGAATACTTTGTTTGTTTTTAACTTCTAATGTGAAATTTATTGATGGATAACAGTTATTAATGTCTGTGGAAGATGCTTCAAATAATATTTATTGTCACAAATAATATAAACATCATCCATGTACTTTTCATACAGGTGTAAGCTGCCAAAAGTTGTTTTAAGTTGATTGTTTTCCAGACTGGCCATGAAACAATCAGCTAGTAATGAACCAAGTCGAGATCCCATTGCTATGCCATCCGTTTATATATAAATTACGTCCTTCTATGAAAATTGTACACTAAAAGTGCATTGTACTAGTAATTCTTTTAAACAGGATTTTGGCAGTCCGATATTAATTCCATTATCATCTATGTATTTGCAGATAAAGCTAATGGTCTCTGTAAATGGGACATTAGTGAATTGTGATTCGACATCAAATGGAAGGATAATTTTGCTACCTACATTCACTTCTTTTATGTGATCATTGAGTTTAAAAGTATCATGTAGAGAGTGCATACAAAGACGTTTTCTTACGGTTTTCAGGAGATCTCCCAGCCGCTTTTCTATAGAGTGATAAGCAAATCCGGACATATCAAGAACTGGTCAGAGAGACAAACCAAGTTTGTGTACTTTAGATAGACTATATAGTCGTGGTATTAATGGTCCTGTTGGTTTTATGTGCACGTACATACATCTTCGTTAATTACAGGATCATTATTCATTCTCTTAAGAATTTCATTTAGTTCGGTCTTGTTTTTCTCAACCTTATCAAATATGCAGTTCGATTAGTCGCATGACATTCTGACCTGATATCTTTGTCTTAAATGTTTGTCTCTTCTTTGTTTGGGTGTTTCAGAATGTCCTGGATGTATTTCAGCTGGTATCGAATAACTTATATCTCGTTTTAGTTGACAATTAGGTGATTTCATCACTAAGTGTTTGGAAAATAAAAGTATCCTATCAAGATCTATGAAAGTCTAACGATGAAAACAGTTTACGAATTTGACGTATGAGAGATAATTATTTATTTAACCAATATGAATGTAGGGAAAAATAAATGCAAAGGGGTCATAATAGTAAATGATTAATAAGAATAAAAGATCAGAAAAAGGTATCAAGAACTAATTACTGAGTATAAAGTATTGTGTTAAGAGTATAGGATAACAGTAAAATGAAAGATTTCTCGTACAGCGTTTTTACGTAGAGTTCAGGTTTGAACAGCTCAATAGCTAAACCCTCTTTAGTTCACAACTGTTTTATTTGTACTCATTTCGATCCCAACTCTTTGACCGTATACATTGTTTAAAAGGATAAATCTGCTGTGACAGCTTGGGTAGGAATGAAGACATGTTCCGAAATTTAGCTATCGATTGTTTTCGATTCTCTTTATGAAAGCTTTGGACAGTAATGCTCAGAGATAAGTTTAGAAATCCATCGCTTAGTAGGGCTGATGTAATCTGCTCCAGAAGGAGCAATAAACTGATAGATCTACATTGGTTTGATCCAAAACAGCACTTGATCTGAAACTTTGAAAGTAATTCAGTCTTTGTTAACATACACTCATTGACTGAGCAGATTTTAGTCCTTAATATCAGCAACTAAATAATACAAATCCTTATGAATAAGCGTTCCATATGGTGAATATGTTCGTGACTTTCTGGACTCAACAGTTTAGTGGATAATGAGTTGGTGTTAGGTACTGGAACAAGGTCTCAATATGCACACTAAAGGTGGGATGCAGGTACATCCAACTAACGGGTCCCAGATACGGTGAGACGCAAGCTCTGAGTTGCAATGTCAGCCACAATCCAAATATACTGGAAACTTTTAACTAAATGTCAATACTGATACATCAACTCGGGATGCGCATATGCTGACAAAAACTGGTCAAACTTTAATCTTCAACATTGTAAACTGGATAATATAAAATCCTTATGAATAGATCAAACAATAAACTGTGAATTCCGTCCAAGTGATCGCCTGTTTTTGATTCTTTATGCAGTCGGACATTGATTAGTTAAGCTCCTTAGGAATTAAGTAATGGATTAGCCAAGTTTGATTGTGGTAATATTCCCCGATAGTTTCGGTATTGGACCGACAACTACCTTCACAATTAATAACATTACACTCCACATTAAAGTTTTATTCGTGTCAGGGTGATGTTTTCCCTAAGCTACCGTTTGAAAACGAGAGAAAGTAAGTGGATTTTAGGTATCAATCGTTGGAAAGTGGACAATATTGTTGAGGAGGTGCACCAACCTCATTGTACAAAACTGATACATGTGTTATCCTCTATTCTTAACCTCACGTAACTCTGAACGGTAATTTCGAAATAACACATGAAGAATAAATGTTTATATAATAGAATTATAAACTTGACCAAACATTTCGTTTTTACTTACCAACAGATATTTTTTATGACTTCAGGAAATGAACTTTTTGGTGAAATGAAAAACCGACTAAAATTAAGATCAATTGGACATTCAGATACTAAAGAATCGCCTTCAGAAATGTTGACGAACAATGCAGTTGAACAGCAGGAACCATCTTCACATGACAATACTTCTTCTAGCATGTCAGCGAACTCCAGTCCCAGATCATCAATATATGATGATTTTGAACAATCTGATTCGAAAACAGTATCAGATATTTTATTGGTGAGCTGTTTATTATCTATTGGTGACTTACAAGTTTCCACTTGTAATCCTAAACTATGTAAACTTCAATTACGTAACCATTTCTCACCTAACTTTCTGTCGAGAAAGTTTTTCTGATCTTTTGGAGAATTCAAAGTACATGAATCATCGGTCGTACACTACGGTATCAATTTCTACTAAATAATTAAAGAAACTGTTTCCAGATTGAGATTTATAAATAATGGGGATAAAAGTGTGAGATCTACAAGTGGGAAGTATAGTGTTTCACGTATCTTATATGACACCCAGTATTATCTAACATCATGTTAGGGTTTTTTCTTTATGTCAACAGACAGACATCATTTTCAATGGAAATAGCATTAGGACAATAATAGTATATTTTATGAGTGCGCAAAGACGCTACGATTTTGTTTTCGTTATAGGGACCTTGTCTGAGTTTTGAGTAGGTCGATGGATATAGTGTGATAGTTCCTGTGTAATGAACTGATATCAAATTTGTTCATCTTTTGATTTATTTTGATTTGATATGAAGCAAGATGTTTCATGTTATTAATGAGAGATTACTGTATTTCCGCATAACCTGCAGTTTTAATTTATCACACACAGAGGAGGTTTTTCACTGTTATACAAATAATAATTAAGGATAAAAGGCAGAATATGAGTGTAAGCAACCAGTCTTAACACAAAGTCATGACATGACGAATCCGACCGTATTGAATAACACTTACACATGACTATTTGCTGTTACACAAAAGATTAACTATTCACCTGTCCTTTTTATCGGCGTTTTCCTATTCTTATCTATCAGTAATCAATGCGGACTTTACATAAGTATATTAACAAACAACTCGGCGACATATCGAGTCCCTAAGTTCGTCAGTTGCCGCATTTGAAGTTCATCACAATTTTATGCGAATTTCGATTTCGGTCGTGTAAGAAATTTATACTCTACACTTTTCAGTAAGCTAAATAAATTAATAACTTTATTTTTGCATAGTGAATAATTGATTTTTCACTGCCTACTCATCAAAAGAAGAATTTCAGCAACGTCTGTTGTCAACAGGAAGAACAGAGTTTTCGAGATGAATCGACTTTTTGATAGTCCTATTCATAAGTCTATTTAAGCTATACCACGATTGGAAACACTGGACGGCCGTTTCGTCATAGTACGGGACTCTCCAGCAGTGTGCCTCCACAGTCCCAACCACGAGACTCGAGCCCAGGACCTCCAGTCTCGCGCGAAAATTTTCAACCTCTAGACCATTGAGTCAGCACCCGACAGTGTTAATGTCTAACTTCGATCAATTCATGATGTTTTGCACACTTCATCAATTGTCTGAGGCGGATAAATGTCTCCACTTAACACGAATTGGACTCCACTGCTGAGAAGTCCTATATTAGGATGAAACGGCCGTTCTAGGTTTCCAGGTTTTCACTGGTAGTTTAGCTTAGATCAACTCATGAATTCAACTATTAAAATTACTACGATCTTTAGAAATCCCCACTCAGATAAGAAACGATTTTTATCCGATGTGCTTTGCTATTTAATAGTGATTCATGAAGTTTGACGTTTTTAAATAGTTGGCAGCTGGAATTATGTTCTTATACTTAACAAAGCAACAAGGAAACTAGATAAAATAACCTCTTTCTGCTGTCTCTTGTACAATGTCGCTCTTCAGTAGGAAATTTATTCAGATATGTTCGTGGATATATATATATATATATATATATATATATATATATATATATATATATTGACTTGATGATTGTTGACTGTCAAAAAGCTTCTTACCTCTTATGAACCAAACCGTTTTTACATTTATACTGGAAAGTACCCATAACAAATCAGCGACCAATCTTCATCTGTGAAATCCTTATCCTTTATTTGGTCTATATTTGTTAAGGGAAGGAATGGTGTGAAACTCAATTTATGTCATTTATTTCCTTCAGTTGGTCTCTTTTACAAATTTTATTAAAGCCAAAACAACAATTGAATTTATCTTATTTCATGGTTTCTCATCAGCTGCTTAGAACCGTATTCGTATTGAAGTGTAACATTGAGGTATGACATAATATAGGATGAAAGACATCAGTAACATAAATAATTGGAATAATAAAGATTAACAGTGATAACTATATATAAGTAGAAAGGTGAATGCGAGGTCATTTGAAGATCGAATTAGAAAACACATAGGATAAGGGAGTAATTATACAGAGTCTGTAGACTGATAAGATGGATTGTATGATAATTTTACAAAATTTGAAGAGGTACATAAGTTTTAGATCACTAGAAGACAGAGCAACGAGATGGCAATTGTCTAGGATTCGAAATTCGTAAGACTGGTTACGTTTTAATGAATAAAATTTGAATTGTTCAGATAATTTTCGAGAATTGGGTGCGTGAAAAGAATAAATGAATGGATGATTTTAGCGTACATGAAATAGCAATTATTTTAGCAAAGATTGCATAACATAATGAACACAATAATAATAATTTCGAGTGATTCTAACCAAAATTGTGAATTTACCAAGGGGATGATAAAACTGACTAGTCCCTTTCTGAACACAAAAGTGAAGTTGGGGTTTTTTAAGCCATCGCATCTCTTAGTCCCAAATTCTTTGAAACGTGCTCCGAAATGCGATATTACACTTTAGTCTAAATACAGTTGTAAGCTGCTGATGCTAAACTACGAACTAAAATGAATTTAGAATATTCTACCTCATGGATTATTTATTTACAACATTGAAGACCAGCTACTAACAAAATTTATTATCGATTGATTTGCGAAAGGATCCATTTTTGAAACAGCCTTCTCTCATGAGCACAAGATTTTCTAGTCTTTCCCCGGAGCAAAGTTACGACCACAGTCGAAACATTATCACAAATACTAAGTGGGATAGTTGATGTTTTACTTGAATGGTTATGGTTAGTTGTAAATAAACGGTAGTTCATTTCTCTAAGATAACTGTAGAAGTAGAGTCTATACTGTGTTTTGTCCATCACAAAAGGCTTGTTATCCATGAACATGTATATTTTTTCTCGTGAATACATCTAGAGCTCATTTGATTTCGAAAGATTTATCTAACAATAACAATGTTACATGAATTTTACTGTAAAGAACACATTATCATTATGATTCTTACATTGGTGCATTTGTATCTACACAGAATCGTGCACGTAAACCTCCTACACGAAAACCGACCTTGAATCGTTGCTCAGATGTTCCTAATAGACAATCATTTAATACTTCTAGTACCTCAATTATATTTCATCCAAATGATAATTCCCAAATACTCGATGGTTTAACGGAATTTTTCAATCCAAAAAGTTAATTGCTGTACAGGTAATTTATTTTTGACTGGTGATAATATGCAAATTATTTAAATCTAGAAAGACTTTCCATCTATTTGATTTTCATTGGTATTCAAACGTTCCCAGCTTGAAAATCACTGAGAGCATAACCAGTCATTGTTCCTAGCCCGAATTAATTATTGTCTGAAAAGTTTCCTATGTTAATCGTTGTTATTACTTTCCTGAATTGTTTTTACACTTAGTGTGGTAGGTGCTGTAGAACACAACGAATAAAGTTCTTAGTACTATCTGGGTCTACAGTGAATTAGTAAAACACAGCAACTTATTACTACCATAAAAAAGAACAATAGCAAGAAGCTTTTATAAGTTGTTCGCAGGACGGCAGAGAAAAATACTCTACTTAGTCATCCGACAAAATGCTTATTAGAGATCATGGTTCTTTATCTCACCACTGAACTACACGTTTCTTACGCTTTTCCCATGTTATCAGTTAACTGACTTTGGATATTTTCAATGCTCCTCTGTTGAAATCTTAACGGATATATATTCTCGATAACATATAACTTCTTTAGATTAAACGCACCCCATTAGGTATCTTCTAAAATTCCCATTTTCCTGGCCAGGTAAGAAAGGGATTTACTTTTTCTCCCTACCCGAATGAAAGCTGTCGTCAGTTCATAACAATCACTTTTTTTTCTGTTAGACGCATCCTATGGATTATGGTTAGATATGAGGAAGTGGGAGTTCGAAGTTAATTTGTCTGCTAATGCAAGCCACACGGATATACAAACTACCATCGAATAACTGGTATATTTTATGAAATTTTATCATTAAGACATTTCGAACAAAAATCTACAGAAATACCTCTTGCCGAACATTTGACTCCTCAAGCGATGTACTTTCCAACTAATGACATGTATAACTAGGTCCACTACGTCGGAATTCCAACAGCTATTGACGACGCAAAGTAAAATGACCAAATATGTAATATATTGGATAAGCTTATTTTAAGTGAATCTCAGTGCCAAAGTAAATCCGAATAGAACGCAGAAATACAATCCAAGGAAGCGTGTAGAATATTCTCAATCAATCCTGAGGCACACAGATAAAACTGAAGACAGAATCAATGAAATTTACCAGCTCTGAAGTCCAGAACGTGTGTTTTGTCAAACTTGAGACTAGTTACCTAAAGGTAATTTCATCCCACTGCCAGCCATATTTTATTTCATATAAACTTGTAATATAGTGACTAACCTCGCAGGATGGAAATATGCTAAATCTGACCTAAATCCAGTCAAAATATCATAAACGGGATATTCCAAATCACTGCATATCAAATTACAAACTGGAGACGTACAATTATCAAGCATTTAAAAATATGTTTAGGGGTGCATGCGACGGTGCTACTACAAGTCTAATGTTGAAATGAATAAAATAATTCTAGTGTTTTCAAATGGCAGCGTCCAATTAATAGTATTTTTAAGTTATTCCGATATTTGTCTGTTTGTATAAAAATACATTATAGTTGGAATTTAACTGGTAATCCGTGTAGTGCGATGCATTGTTAATCATTAGGGATAATTAATTAGGTTTTGTTTGTTCATACAGTGAAAACTATGCTTACTAAGATTTCCAAGAAATATATTTTTCTCTGAAATGTTCGTTTAGAGTTGAGTTAATTTGTAAACCAACTAAAAGCTTTATGAACAGAAGTTCCCTACTTCTTAAATAATAGAAAGTAAGGAGAGTGATTATTTGATTTTGAAATTTTTATACGTCACTTGTCGACATCACTGAATACAGTGAACGGATATATCGCGTTTCATTAGTGTCAGTGAAAGCTTTCCAAGTTGCATGGATTGACTTTTAATGTCAGTGAATTAGACCAGATTTAAAAATACAGATTACACATGTGCTGTTCCAGGTATAAAATGGTGTGAAACAAGTATATGCATTCTTAACTAACCATATCATAAATAAAAGTTACTGAAGTAACCCATGGTGGAAAAGATTTGTAGATCACTTGGATGATGTTGAGGTTTTGTTCTCTGAACTGGATGGTTTGGTCGTGAAGCTTTCATCGTTCTTCTGAACGACATCATCAGCACAAACACCAGGTAGTAGTGAAGTGTTCGAATTTCTCCACGTGTGGTTCACAGCTTGTCCTATATACCTCAATGTTGATTGGTTCTTGTTGACCCCAAACCTGTCATTGTTTACTTCTTTGTTTTGGTTGTATCTCCTATTGGCTTGATTCTCCTGATTGGTTGATAAATTGGATCAGTCAGTCAGTCAGCTACAACGTAGGACCAGGCACATATGTGCATCGGTCCAGGTTGCCATACCTCATTAGCACAGCAAGATGAACACCGGATTCATAGGAGTGGTTAGGTCCAAGGTTGCAATAAGGATATAGTATAGGAAGAAAGAATTAGTTCTTAGACAGAAAGAATGAAGTGATTTTAGTCTCTTAGTTTAAGGGAAGACAGGGAGTGTATACACCGACGCCACTGTGATCGATTCTGAGCCATGTCACCAAGAGTCTCCAACCATTGGTTACGAAAGTCACGCGGACCCCAACCAAGTAGTCTGCATCTACCAACGTGGCTCACACTAGAAGTTAGTGACTTCAGGCACTGATGCCACGTTTTGGTTTGGCCGCCCCTAACTTTCTTCCAACCATCCCCTACCCCGGTTAGCATTGCACGTCGTGGTAATCGGTGTTCAGGTATACGTAATACGTGGCCCAACCATCTCAGTCGATGAAGATTCATAACCTCATCAACTGATTTACCATCATTCCCTAATACCCTGCGTCTAACCTCACTATTACTTACCCGGTGATCCCAACAGATGCCAGCAATATTTCTAAGGCATCTGTGGTCAAATACTAGTAGCTTACGGGTGTCTTCTACTTTTAAGGGCCATGTTTCGCTGCCGTAAATTAAAACAGAACGAACTGCCGCGCAGTATACTCGTCCTTTTATTGATAGACGGATATCTCGCCTTCGCCAAAGGTGACGCAAGTTGGCAAAAGCCAAGCGAGCTTTTCGAATCCGTGCTGAGATTTCGTCCGATACCAACCCATTAGGGCTGATCAGACTTCCAAGATAAGTGAAGTTGTCAACGCGTTCGACTATTTCACTCCCTATCCTTAGTTCAGGTGTTGACGCAGACCAGTCCTGAAGCAACAACTTGCATTTAGAGGGAGAGAAGTGCATTCCAAACATTCTGGCATTGTTGCTTAGTGCTACCAGAAGACTCTGCATTTTGTCAGCGTCTTCACCAAACAGGACTATGTCATCTGCATATTCTAAGTCGATAAGTGGACCTCCTGGAAGGAGATCAATACCCGAGAATTCAGTCGACGAGTGTTATTTCCATCAATAGGTCTATGATGAAGTTAAACAAAAATGGAGAAAGTGGACAGCCTTGACGGACACCACTTGAGGTTGCAAAAGTAGATGATAGTTCGCCATAAGCCCTGACTCGACTAGTAGTGTTCGAGTAAAGAGCCTTCACAAGGTTTATGTACTTCTGAGGTACGCCTTTCAATGACAGACACTGCCACAGAGTCTCGCGGTCTACCGAGTCAAATGCTGCTTTTAAGTCAAGAAAGACCACCATCGTCGGACGCCGATAAATTGGATCGATTTCAATGTGTTTGTTTATTGCTGATTGACTTGAGTGCCAAGCTTCTAAAAACTCTCTGGTGTTTTTGGAATTGCCGCTATCCAAAATCTCCACATTTTTTCAGTCGAATGTGTCCGCAGCTGTCCGCGTGGATTGATATATGTGAGGACGTCATGGCGTTTGACTGCTAATTGTGATGTTCATGCAGGCGAAGATGAAGAGGTCGTCCGCTTTATCCGATGTAGTGTTTTTCGCAGTTGGCACAATTTATTTTGTAGATGATGTTTGGTTTGTTTTCTTTTGTCATTTCACCCTTTGGTTTGCATAGGACTGATTATACGGATTTTGTTGGTTTGTGCGCAACACCTATTCCGAAGGTTTTCAACAGTCTCGTTGTCGTTTCTGATTAGCATTTTATGTATGGTAGGGTGATCCTTTTGTTGTTTTCTGTACCTGACTTTGTTTCTGCTGATGAGTGCAACTGGTATTTTTTTTATAAAGTTGATTGGATAGCCGTTCTTTTGAAGGATAGTCTTCAAGTATTTTTCTTCATTTTCTTCGTGCTGTAATTGTGTTGCAGTGTGTCCTCGCCCTCTTGAACAAGGTTTGTACGTAGTTGATTTTGTGAGCTCTTGGGTTGTTGCTACTGTAGTCGAGAATTTGATCTGTGTGGGTCGGCTTCCTACACACTGGAGTCTCCAGTGTACCTGTGTCGGTTCTGGCGATTAATATATCCAAGAATGATAGCTTGTCGTTTGACTCCTGTTCCATTGTGAACTTTATGTCATTGAAGACGTTGTTGATCAGCCTGTAGGTGTTTTCTAGCTTATCCTTTTGAAGTAATCCATTGTGAAATTGAATAAAAATAAAGAGAATTCAGCGGAGAAAATTTTATTTTCGCAGAAATCATTTACTTAGGATGTACATTCGTATTTATAGTTGTTTGGTAAACACATAAGTATGTAGAAAGATAGCATTCAAATTCCCAAACATCAAATGGGGTTGTGTAATAATCAGGGCTTAAAGAAGAATAAGAGAATGAAAATAATTTATGGGTCAGAATTATGAATTATTATCTGTCCACTTGACAGATATGAAGAGAAACGAAAAACATAAAGGTCATAATAACTGAATAATAATCATAAAAATTGTTGGAGGATAATAGTTTAGTGGCCCATTATTTTGACGCCAATTAGATCGGACGATGTTATTGACGAGCTCACCACTTTATGGCCCTTATCTGACTCCAAGTCAATCGTTTGAATGATTGTTATTTGAAATATACATATTGTCAATCGTCGTATAAGATTATCGACTTAAATCATGTTAGTAAATAACGGAATTAAATGAGTTAAATACGAGAATGAATTTCGAATGCGTGTATTTCATACAATCTCTGATCCAGACAAACGATCGAAGAAACGAAGCAAAGAAAGCAAAGTGAAGAGAGCGGAGCGAGATGACACGCAATAGAGAATGCGTGTGATCCAACTCAAATTAACCGAGCGTGAATCGGTATTTATAGTCACACAAAAATACAGACATGTGACGAATAGGATAACAAATGTACACATACACTCATATAAAAACAGTCAAAGTTAATGAGCGAATAACTCACAAGGTCAAAATATGATTTAAGAAGAATGAGAAGATTGGTCTGTTCGGAAGGTAGAATTAGCTATGTGGGCTTGACATAGCAACCGACACTACAATATAACTGATTACAGTTTAAATTTACGAAACAGTAATAAGAAATAAGACTGAAACATACCGTAGAGGGGAGTTAGGGCCAAGCAATGATGACAGGTTGGACGAATCGTTTTTGCACACCGAGTTCGGGCTTGCACTAGTAAATCACCAACGCCTCAGCAGTGCATGGGTTTTTGATTCGGCCTACCTTCTATAGTGACCAAGGCCAATAGTGGGGGCAATCGAATGTATTTGAACACGAAATTACAGAATATCTCACTAAAATCTGAGATTTATACGGTAAATAGTCGATTTGTAAAATATCAATCACAAACTTGACTGTTCCTTTTGCAAATCTCAGTCCATCGTCTCAGACTTCACTGTTCGTGTATTTTTATATTAACTGCTTTCCGTTCCTGTTGTTTCCCTCTCGATCTTCTAGTGGATATAAGTAGCCCACACTACACTTCCATCCAGTTCCTTTGATTGTTTAGGTTATTTTGAAGGAAGACTCCTTCGGAACGACTTGTCCAAAGTTGACCAGGTTTACTGTAATGAACTGTTGACTATTATGTATTCTTCTTTTAAAAATCGCACCAAGTAATATCCTGAGATGCTCTTGGAAAGTGGTTGCTCCGTACGGCCAATGTGACCTGCTCCACAGGAGCAAGTAAATTTATAGATGTACATCGATGTGACCCAAAGTGGAAGTTTATCCTTAACACATTCGTGAACAGTAGGCTGGTTTAAAAAGACATTCCTAAGCTTAACCGAATAAAAGGCTTTATCCAGAGAAATCCGTTTATTTCATGACTTCGGCGGCCGTATCTCCATTAAATCTGATGTTCAAAAAGTAGTTTTTTAAACTGTCGGTGCTTTTTTAGGATATTGTTGTGGTGTTAAGTTCCCATCGACAAATCTAAGTGGATAACCATTTCTGATGAGTATCTGTAGAAGTTGAAGTAGTTCATGGTTTATTGTGTCATTAGAACATGTTCACTTAGTTCTCAAAGATAAAGAGTGAATTAATTCCCTTTTTCTACCCAATGGGACTCGGCTATAGAAACTTGTATACTGACCATTCCAGATCATTTTTTATACATAGATCTGTAAAGAAACATCTGACCTTTTCAACAAGACATCAAGAAGACGAAATCCCTCGTTCGCCTCTCCTTTCAATGCGAATAGAATTGAGTTGATGAAAATTGTTGAGTCCATTCAAAATTACATTGAGGTCCATATCTTCACAAATAATGAAAGTATCATCCATATACCCTTTTTATTAATGAAATCTTCCAATTATCGGTTGAAGTGTCGTATTTTCCAGATTGGGCTTGAAACAATCAGCCAAGAGGGGGCTTAGCGGTGAACGCATTGTAAATTCATCAGTTTGTCTACAGAAATTATTATTGAATCTAAATTGCACATTGAGAGTACATCGTGGAAATAGCTCTTTTAAATAATATTTTGGGATACAAATATCAAAGTTGTTATTTTCAATATAGTCACATAAAGAACATATATTTTCTGTGAGTGGAACATTTGTAAAGAAAGAAGCGATATCCAATGAAATCACTTTTCTGCCATTTACATTAATATTTTTGATCGAATCGACAAAATCAAAGAAATCAAGAGACTTGTATCGGCTAACCATTTCGCAATCAAATGATATGAAGAGTTATTCATGTCAAGTATGGAAAGTAGGGGGATATTCTTCGAATGAACGTTTGGTAGTCCGTATAGTCTCGATATAGCGGAACCCGATGGTTTTAGATGTTCATAGAGGTCACAACTAATAATAAACTCATCTTCCCTAGGATTTTAGTCGACATCTGTTCAGTTTTCTCAGTCGCATCTTTTGAATGATTTCTTTAGAGAATTTGACACCATCCGATAATATTGAGGATAGTTTGGTAAAGTAGTCATGACGATCCATAAGGAAAATACCCTCACTCTCATCTGGGAGACATAGCACTGAAATCTGATTTATCAGAGGATCAAATAATCGAGACTTATGTCATTTTGTGAGTAATCGTCTAGTTGTAGCTAATGTGTTTACATATTAATTACAACAGTCTACAGTAACTGTAAATACGAATGTACAACTTAAGTAAACGATTTCACCGAAAAGAAATCTTCGCTCAATGCTCTTTAGTTTTATTCAACAAAACTTACGTTAGGATTTTTAAAGTAGAGTTTTCACCCAGCAGTTAATCAAATAACTTTACATCCAGGTAACCAGATGATGTAAGTTGCAAAGCTTTTTGCGTATGGAGGACACGAGAGTAGTTTTACAATCGTATGTATATTAACTGTATTTGGTAAAAAATATATAAATATCTGTTTCTTGTGAATAATAATTTCTTTTTATTTCTTAGACAAATGTTGATGTTTATCATTTTTTCTATCAGACTGGATGCTCGGACAACTATTTGTGTTCAACCCTTCTCATAATGAGCTGTGAACCTCGATGACACATCTTATTTTCTTGAATCTATCTAATTAGTTATGTAACAAGACAACACAGCGATACCAGCTGCCTGACCACTTGATTTAAACTTGTAAAGTAACACAATATATTTCCTTTTGCATCTATTCCCATAGAATAAATAAAAATATGCAACACCCCAGTAGTATTAAAACATTCTGTTTTGTCCTATATATTATTAGACTTATAATCTTTCCCCTTGTCTATTTTTGTTTCGATATTTCACATGGTACCAGATTAAACTGTTGTAAACACTGACGTTGTGATTAAATTCATTTGTATAATGTTTTGTTAGTTTACTCATCACCTTTAGATAGTTATCTAATCAGTAGGAGCGAGAGATTGGAATAATACCATCATCAATTGTTCTCTTATGCAGTTGTTTTTCCTGTCACTAGAGAAATAAAAAAATACGATATAATCTATCTCTATATATTCATAGTTTTAATGAACAGACTATGCATCTCTGCAGACATTTCATGTAGATAAGTCTGATACTCGCATGTTACCAGCATCTCACCAACAAGATAGCTTGGAATCCGAGACTTCTATTGAGGCCGAATTGAGTAAAATATTGAGCCTCTGGTTAGTTTCTGCAGTGATCTATCTTCACAACTTGTCTTTTTCAACAAGACATAAAAGTTACTTCATCTTAAGAGCAAATTATAACCAAGTTTTGAATGATATAGACTGCTGATTTCCATTTGATAAAGGAACGATATGTCCAAAGATACTAGTATTTGTCAGTGCTTTGAATATTTTAATCTTTTAATACTTCGTTGATTACACACAAATCAACAATCTATCCTATATAATCATGTTTCGAAATTATATCCTACATGTTCATAGGCTCCATTCATTAAAAACTATAAGAACTAGTTGTTTTACTTTCTTTTTAATTAAAATGTTTGAAATCGTTTGTATGCCGACCCCAACGGCCCAGTGGTTAATCACTTACCTTGAAACTTATAGAATCTAAACTTGATCCCTGGCTGGGTCGTTTTTATCGTACAGGTGGACACAAGATGTGGTGAGACTCGGTCTACATCCTAACCGGTCTCTTACCATACAGTAAGTGCCATATGAACGATGGATTTTTACTAACCAATTCCTCTTGTTCTGATATATGAAACAACATGATTAACTGGAAAGAATTTCCATTTTCACTGGTGAAACAAGTTCCGTATTTCTCACTTTTGACTGACTACTAAAAAAAAGAAAGTTTCTGGATATTCGTGTTTGACCACAAAAAAATTCATGGACTGCTGAGATGTACTATGCTATAACCCAACATTTATTCAGTGCTGCAAGGTTTTCAATGTTTCTTCAAATGGAATTAATCTGTGATGTAAAAATCTAACAATTTGAACGTCTATTCTAATATTCGTTCTACAACAACTTTCGTTATCCTAATTTTGCATTGACATAACAAGCAAAAATGAAATTGGTACGATCCATTCTACTACCATAGTCTCAATATCTCGCAAGTCCCTTCTTCTTTCTTCTCTCACAGACATCTGCTCCCTACTTATCTTCTCTATAAACCTTAAGGCAAAGCTAATTTGTTTTTGTTTCTATGATCCTTATGACGTTGAGCATTCCCTTTCCAATTATAGTTCTTTGTTTATCTTCAGAATGAACCTTGGAGCTATCAAAAACAGCATTTTTGGCGGTTTCCTTAGTAAAAATAATGTTTTCATGCCTTTATATATTTTACGTCACTGTTACTGTTAAGTTAGTCAGAAATCTCCGTCAATATTCTCATCTCATCCGACTTATATTTTGTGTATCGCTTTGTACTACTTGTTCATATTCAATAAACAGTTCTATTTTTAATAATTTCTAGGCGTATGATATAATGGAAGTTTGTCATGCAATATCCTAAATTATTTACATACACTTATTAAATTTACTATATTTATTGTTAACTCCTCCTGTAGCTCTTCTAGGGCTACTGCCCACCACAAGCCCACATAAAGGAGGGGGGTTGGGAATGGGGTCGGTAACACCATCCCGTAGAAAATTGGAGAAACAGCATTACAAAGGTTCAATACAGCCTTCCTACGAGATATTGAAAAACTCAACCAATTCAAGATAAATCTCGGTATCAGGTTCCACACCTTACAGGATCTACTGACAGAAGAAACTACTATAGAGGACAACTGGAAAGGGAGGTGCTGGGCCGCAAGAAGCATCATCATAAGGAATAGATCTCTATCGAAACCCTCGACAAGATTCAAAAAAGAAAGAACAGGAGGACATCAACTAACAACAACTGAACCAGAACAGAGAAAGTCAAGGCACAAGCTGAATACAGAGAAGCGAATAAGCAAGTTAACAGAAGCATTAGAGCCGACAAGCAGAAATATGTGGAAGAGCTAGCAATGAGAGCGAAAAAGCTGCAAGAGAAAGAAATATGAAACAACTATATGACACGACGAAGAAACGATGAAATCAGAGAGATTGGTCAAGAACAAGGAAGGCAGGACAATCACTGAGATTCAAGAACAGAAGGGTGGAACACTTCGAGGAACTCTTGAATAGACCGGTTTCATTGAATCTGTAGTGGCATTGGGCCCTAACCACACGACCTTTGAAGCCGAGCGTATAATTACTGAAAAGATTTATATTCAACAATTGACACGAGGAGAAGGTTAACGATGGAGAACGCGGGAACATTCGTTCATTCAATCAGATGGCATGGCCCAGCCTTGCAGATGTGATCAGTCTGCATAACTTGTCTTTACTCACATTAAATATATTATTCTATCTTTAGCCCAAAAGTGTTCTTCAAAAGCACTAGACGTTATGCTGCTGATTCCTGCGGTGCGACAAGTCAGTGAAGGTAATGATGAGGATTCCACGGAAGATATCATAGATTAGGTAGTCACATCATGAAAAGTCTACAATTTTAGGATTAGGTCTATCATTATAGCAGTACTAATAGCGAACTAGACCATAATCCCACAAATCTACCGGATATCGAAGCAGCACCTACAGATCTTTTTATACATATCACTCCACCAACGATAGAAGAAATCAGGATGGCCATCAGACAAATCAAGAGTGAGAAAGCAGAAGGACCTGACAATTATTTATTACATATTTATTTGAACACATAAATATTGGTACAACGGGGCACCGAATACATATGCCCCACACAAGTCACTTGGTTTGTGTGTGGTGCCCCAACCGAGGCAGGACCTGACAATATACCAGCCGAAGCACTAAAGTCAGACATCGGAATAACTGCAAACATGTTCCACGTTCTATTAAGGAAGATTTGAGAGGAACAACAAGTGCTGACAGACTAGAAAGGATATCTCATCAAGTTACCAAACAAAGGAGATCTGAGCAGATGTGAGAACTACAGAGGAACCAGACTACAATCAGTACCAGGAAAGGTTCCCAACAGAGTGTTACTGGACCATATAAAAGATTCAGTAGACACTCAACTTCGAGATCAACAGACTGGATTCTGTGAGGATCAGCCGTGCACAGACCAAATCGCGTCACTACGGATCATCGTCGAACAATCAATTGAATGGAATTCGTCACTATACATCAACTTCCTTGATTATGAGAAAATATTTGACAGTGTGGATAGGAGAACCTTATGGAAACACCTACGACATTATGGTGAACCCGAGAAGATCATCAACATCACCCGGAATTCATACGACGGACTACACTGCAATGTGGTGCATGGAGGACAGCTGACAAATGCATTCCAAGTGAGGAACGGAGTCAGAAAAGGCTGCTTGTTGCCTCCCTTCCTCTTTCTTCTGGTAGTTGACTGGATTGTGAAGAGCTCGACATCAGGTGGGCCGCATCCCTTCAATTGAAGAACATATGGAACTCAAAACAACTTTCAACCAATATCGAAGCCAGAATCTTCAATAAGAACGTCAAGACAGTCCTAGTGTATGAAGCTGAGACGTGAATAACTACTACAACCATTATCAAAAAGATACAAGTATTTGTAAACAGTTGTCTACGCAAGATAATCAGTGTCCGTTGACCGGATACCATCAGCAACAGTCTACTGTGGGAGAGAACAAACCAGGTTCTATCTGAAGAGGAAATTAGAAAAAGATGTTGAAAGTGGATTGGATGTGCATTGAGGAAATCACCAAATTGCATCACAAGGGAATCGTGAAGGGAAACGGAGCGAAGGAAGACCGAAGAACATACTACGTCATCATCCAGCCAGAAACGCACTATGTGACTTTCTACGTTCTAGACATTTCCGGCAAAACTTTTATTGAACCCTGATTGGATAAGATGCTTCTCAGCATTTTCAGCACCTTTCCTGGCTTTTCTCGAGGATTTTTCTGGGTCTCCTCAACAATAACCAAGTTCAATGTTCAGTTAACTGCCATCTTGTTATTTTTGGAGTGTCTACTGAAAGTGGTTACGGCAGTCACTTCAATAATACTCATTACAACGATTGTATGAATGTTCCCAGTAGTATGTGTCAAGATCTTTTTCTTGTTCTTGCTCCATGAAAATTCTGTTCTAGCTCGTCATAGGCCATTCTCATTGTTGAGGATGATTACCTTTACTGCTACTATGTTTATTAGCGTTCCAGAAACTTCCGGAAGCCCAAAGCCATATAAAATACTACAAATACCTTAGATTTTCTGTACATAAACAAACCTTTGGAGCAAAGTGTTTCTTCCATATTTCGCGCCTTTTCCCTCGTGATCAAGTCGCTGTGTAGAATTAACCTGAGGGTTACTAGAAGAGCTTAGGAACCGAATCTAGCGTTCACTTAGAAGAATGATCAGTTAATGAAACATTTTTTCTGTTTACATACCTGGATTACTCTTTTAATGTATTTGTAAAACAAAACTCTCTGGGATCTTGCTCAGAACTAGGTTATAGAAATTAGTGATGGTGGTGGTGGATTGACCACAGCAATAGAAGTTAAATATATTTTTATCTTGCAAATGCCTAGAATGAAAATAAAATGGACTAATTACTCGGGATGCTATTGGTTCTAAATTTCACCACACAATGGCTTTTCTAGTTATAATATGTTTCGAACCCTTCATAATGGAGTTTGAGCAATTAGGTGGATAATCATATCAAGCTTCCAGATTTATAAAAACTGTCTACTTATCCATCAACAATATATAGCACCATAATATGAAAGACTTTCAAGCAATCAAAGCTGTTATAGAAGAACTACGTGACGTAGTCTGAACAGGAATATTAAGATTTCTCCAAAATTTATACCAGTAATATTTACATGCAGTAAACAACTTTACTAAGTAAAAAATCAGTTTATGTACACTAATATGTTTTGAATGAAAGAGTGGAACTTGAAATATAGTAAATTACCCCACAGTGCCCATGTAATTTACAGATTTTGAAGGGTCTGATGGGAAAAACTTTTGGCATTGTGTCATTAGTCTTTTTATAGCTTGAATATATTTACGTTGTGTTTCATCGTTCAGAACGTGTGCTACGTTTTTGGCATAGATTTTTTCTTGCGCAGTACGTGAGTGAATACCATGATTTGTCACACCTAACGGCCAAGGAGCATTACCAATTGCTAATTCTAAATAAGCATCATTGGCCTACAAAAGAAAACAGATAAATCCGAGTAATAATCATCATACGGACATTCTTCTCTTCATAGAAAAAATTCGTCCAAGCCTGGTTTTGTTAAATATATGGGGATTAGTTGAATAATTTGGATTAATACTGTGATGAACAACACACGGTAACGTAAATAAAACATATTTTAAAAGGATAAAAAGAGATGAAGTATATTATTGGGCATAATAGGCTGAATAGTCTGTCTAGAAATCAAAACATTGGTTACCACTGAAAACTAACAATAGTAGACACCCATCGTACATGGATTATGTAGTAAGCTTTATAGGTTTTTTAGCAACCTGATCAAATCAGAGACAACTACTTTCTTGTTTTAGATTTATCTAGATAATTATGTATTTTAACTACCCAATGGAACTAATCGCTCCTGTAAAAAGCTTACAACCTATCATGAAGCTAAATGCAGTGGAATTCAGGCGAAACCATCACGGTAGTTGGTACTTTTTAACTGCCTGTACTTTGTAGGGACGAGGCCCGAATACACTGGAACTCATCTGCCAAATCTAGAATGCGATGAAAAAATTCCATAAGACCTAAATTGATCATAAAGTTCGTGGATAAATACGATCGAAGGATGACAATCGTTGAAAATGTCTTTTGCATATTTACTCGAATATTTGCGAGTTAAACAAATACAGGCGAAGACTATGTTGCAGTACTGCACGCAATAAGCTAAGAATTCTTAACTGTGACCAAACTTATGGTATGTGATAAGGTGAATATAATTATCATTATTTTTAACAAGCAAGAACGGGTCAACGTATCATGATGAATGTCATTTCAAAACCATACGAATTGGGAATACTTACAGATATTTAGTCACAAATGTATTAATGTGGCAATTATTAGTTTATGAAATAAAAATGTAAATGATAATAAGCTGTAAGTTTTGAATGATGTGATAATCTTCACTATTACACAATCAAAATAATTCAATTATACACAATGCTTCAACTGTACCATATATATTGGGAACAGATTACTGTTAAATAGATGTCTCCTACCATATTGTAAAACATAATCAGCAAGTCACTAGGTGGAACTTGTACGTATTTACACGGGTTCAAGTTGCCATACCCCATTAGCACACGGAGTTATGACTGTCAGGACGAATCCCAGAATAGTAGAGGTAGTAACAGTATCAGTGGTTACACCAGATTTTGGTTTGGTGCCCCCTAGCTTTCTTCCAGCATGCTCCTACAATCGAAAATATCGCCTGTCGAGGTAAGAGGTGGTTGGGCATACGTGACACATCCCAACCACCTCAGTTGATAAAGATTTACTGCCTCATCAATCGATTTCTCATCTTTAACTAGTACTGTATTCCTAACACAGGCATTGCTTACTCCGTGGTCCCAAAATACTCCGCCAATGCCTCGTAGGCACCTACGATTGAACACCAGTAACCAACGAATATCCTCTAATATTAATGGCCATGTTTCACATCCATTAAGTAGAACAGAGCAAACTGCTGCGCAGTAAACTTCCCCTCTTTTTGAAAGACGGACCTCTCACCTACGCCACATGTGATGCAAGTCGGAGAAAACCAATAGAGCCTTCTTACTCCATGTCGAGATTTTGTCAGACACCAGACCATCAGTACTCATGAAACTCCCAAGATAAGTGAAGCGGTTTACGTGTTCAACTACTTCAGTCTCTATCACTCATTCAGACAATGACGCAAGTCGATCCTGAAGTAACTGAGATGTGGTTGAAGGCCAGTTAAACTATTCCGTAAAGAGTTCCGACCATCAGTTCAAGCTCCTGGATTGAGAGTGAATAATAGTCCCATATTTTCCAAGACAGCTTCACCAACAACCACATCTAAATACTCGTTTCCTTCATAATTCTGAACAGTTGTCTACTTTTACCTATCACTGCTGACTTTTCCATCTCTTCTGCATTCGCTACTCACCACTGCTAACGATCATTACGTAGGTTTTTTATCGGCCTACATTTAACGTGTTCCGCTTTTGAACTTAATGCCATATCTACACCTACGAAGCCATGGGAAGTAGCATTGGGGTCTCCAGATACTCGAAGAGTAAGTCATGCCAGTCCTTTGTATTGGCAAGGTGAGGTCAAATGAATGACCATATGATGTGTGGGCGAGGATGGTAATGACTGGTTGTTTGCTTAGTCAGACTAGTAGATAGTCTGACAGGTACTATATGAGTTATATATTCTATTACCCTTATTATTACAGTGATTGATGAAGGATTGCTGTCGGTTTTTGGCATGGAAATATATTCGCGTTCTAGTCAAGCTTATCGCGTGTTCTTGGTCTGAGTTGTGTTAAAGTCCTATAAAACAGACGCTGAGAGGGAATCTAGTGTAGATATTCGTCTAAGGCAAATTAACGTCCCATCCGTGTAGACGAGCAATCCTACCGTTACAACACTGTACGTGGATCCTGTATCCGCATTTTGGAAACGCAGCACATATCGATGACGCGAGGTTCTTGAGTTCTATTTAAACAAGTCTGTGTTCCTGTCTGACACAAGGTTCGAACATTAAAAGCTCCAACATGCAGTTTCGAGCGTGGTTTCAAAAAACTGGAAATAATATTTCGTTAACTCAAATCATTAACACTGGTGGCGCGTGGTGATACAGATCAATCAAAGGGGTTAGTCACGGAGATAGAAGAACTATTAAGAGGTGAGAGAGCGATTCAATCGTCAACAAGATGATCTTGGATGCTGATAGAAGCATGAGTGTGGTCGTCACTTCCCGATTGCACAAATCGTGGGAGGACATTTATTCTTGAGGGATTTGAGAAAGAAGCTGAATTAGTGGCGAGTTAGCTCCACACTTTTAATAGCCTCACTGCCGGAGACGGAAATCCGTGGGGTAAGGTGAGGTGTGACATTTCTAGAATCGACCTTATCTAACCCCTCCTTCCGTTGTGGGAAGAGAGCAGTGTTGGAGATGCCGGTTGTCCGAGGTAAACACCTCACTGCTGTCGAATCCTTCCACAGTTAGCAGTATGACTTCAACCTCGGACCTTTAGTTGTTGCTTATAGTCTTACAGTTCTCCAACCAACCTGGCTGACATGATAAGACCTAAAGATACATGCGTTTTAGCCAGTATAACTCAGTTGAGTCATCATGATAGGCAAGCCCGACCACCACGTCAAGGTAGCAGCAACAGTCGCGATGAAATATCATACAAGTGGATGAAACCTGAGGAAATGAAATAATGACATGGAGTAAAAGTTATTTTATGGAATTAGTGTGATCAAGATCAATGATTATTCAGTAAGAAGGAAAAACATCAGTATGCTGATATATCGACCCGATATTAGTTTATTTCATCACAATCCAGAAAAAACACTTAATAATTGCCTATCTATTTCATAAAACATAAAAAAGCATAAAGATAGCCCAACTAACCTTTAGGTAGTTCCGATCAATCATCAAAACCATGATTTTAACCAAAGAATTCAAAATATCATCTTTGCAACGCTAAAATGAATGTGATACTGTTAATGAATGAATTGACTTACATTATTCTGAAGTGTACGAAGAAGTGGTTTAATATACTCTACTGTTTGGGTATATGTTGCACTAGCCATTTTTCCAGAATAAGATAGTTTTTCTTCTTTAGTTCTAGTATTCAAAGCATGACCCCATTTTGACAAGAGGAACTAACCGAAAAAAAAATCAGCTTGCAGTGTAACAAACTATCATGTTATTGAATAACTATGCAAAAATGAGAAAGTTCGTATAAATAATCCTTTACAAAAAAATTATAAGGAATAGGGAGATTATCACTTGCTTTTATAATCAAGAAAAGATCGCATTGTGAACCAACTCGTTATTAACCAAATCTTACTGTTACTAAATATGGTTAATTCGGCTAAAAGTGATATCCTCATACCTAACTAAACTAAATTTTTAAACAGATTTAAGACAACCAGTGACTTCAGCATGCATATATATTTACTGACCGTGGAATGGTTGGCATATGATCATTGTTGTAGACAAGTAAATCGCATCTAGTAACTGAGCAAGAATAGAAACTCGCAACGAATTATATGCAGTTGGGTCTTCTTTAACCAGACACAATGCAATTTACTACTAAAAAACAGGCGGGTATATACGACTCGACATAAATGGAAAAGACGGAAAGATACATATTTATTTGGTAGGACACAAAAACTTACAACTGTACATTTAAACTTGTAACAGTTCGTGAAGTTACAAAAACAAAAGGCATTAGGGCACAAACAAAATGGAAATGAGTGGAAACAAAGTTATTTATTTTTGTGCAACTGAGTCAGCAAAAACTCCCCAGTCACATCCATAACCATAAAACTTAGGCTACTCCTGGACCCAGATCTGGCGGTTCACTGTCGTCATATAATCAGAACGATTTGTAATCTAAATCTCAACCTGAAATGCTTTTACGAATGATTACAAGAATTAATAGTCAATCACTATCCAATCGTATTGTATACCATCAGTTTCTACAGTTAACCAGCTTACTTTTCATGATAAGCTGTGAAGAATGGGAAGAAACTATTTCTATAATGATTGTTGAAAACACAGGACACATGGTATTAACAACTAGTTATCAAACTCATTAATCATTTACTGAAGCGACATCCACACTTGAGCAACTAAAAGAAATACTAGAGACTGCATACTATCAATGTAAAATAAATAATTATATAGATTAAATAAATAAACTCCTGTAGAATCCCTAGCATCTGGATATTCATGTTAAACAAGGTTAGAATCTATATTCATGATATAAAGATCATTTAAACACCGACTAGTCGTTTTACTCCTGTGAATACATGTTAGCAGTTTGTCTGTAACAACTTTCTTATGTAAAAACTTACAAGATGAAACTGACTACAAATTGTGTAACGTACGATTTCCACGCAGTGAAATCAGCAGGTTATTGAACGTGCAATTAATTTGGGACTTCGGATATTGGTCAGTTATCTATCTGTTACGACAGCTACCTCTGTGTTGACATTCGTAAAACATTAACAATTCTAGCTTTTCTTGTATTTTTCTTCGTTTTCTTTTATTTCTTTCATATATTGAACCCACATTACCAATAAAATCTGACATATTTGTCACTGCTGTATCTCAGAGAGCGAAAACAGTATGTCAGCTATTTTTTGGTCTCTGTATTTATCACATAATCTGACCAGCAATAATATTATCATAAGCTTTGTTTCGTTACAAGTGAAACCTTCAGGGTACCTAAGGGCTTGTTTTGTGTGTGTTGTGTTCTGGTTGGAAAAACTAACTTGATAACGAAAAGCCATTTACCGCATTTTTAAACTTGAAGTCAGAAAACTTGGAGTAAATCTTGATGGGGGTGTCTTGAGTGAATAAGAGCCATCCATAAATTCAGTGTTTTTCATTAATTTCGCTTCATAATTAGTTCCAACAACTGACCTGTTACTTTGACCAATATTTTCATTTATCACTTATTTTTAATAACATTGGAATTTGAACTAACAACATACGAATAATGCTCAATTTGGTTCACGAAGAAACACTATCTCAAGCACATTGTAGCCGACGAATTAACATGGCGAAAGTGATTTTCACTTATTCACTACAAGGTAAAATTCACAACCATATTTTCACCATGGAAAGGAGTCATAAAAACTCAAAACCATAAACAATAAGGGATCTGGTAAGGTTACGCTTGGACATTTCACCATACCCTGCATGCCATAAAATTGGATTCATTGTAATTAAGTTTTTAAAGTACAATGGATTTATCACTAGTAAAACATAATTCAAACTGATAAAAATATTTTGGCAAATATGCGGTTATTAAAGACTGAGAAGCTCACCTTCAAATAGCGAAGGGTGTGATCGATCACCTGATCATGAAACCCCTCGTCAAAATCATTGGTACATACAATATCTGGGGCGAGTTTACTAATAGTAACAACCGCAGTCGTTGCGTCATCAGTAGCAGTACCCTCTTTCATTGTGACATAACGGGCTAAATCTATCTTTATCTTCTCAAGTTCGTCTTCTGTTAATACATTTTCTTTTGTTTTTACATCTAGGGTAGAGGTTGATGAGCTATCAACGGACTGAGATTCAGAAGCTGATTTTCCACGACCTGAGGTATAAAACTCTTCATCCTCAGCGTCATCTAACTAACAACAATAATAGGAGTTCTAATAAACTACCTTATCTAATGCTGCTATTAGATCATTGCGCAATCCTTTTGATTCAGGTTCTAAAAGTTGAACCCTTTTCAACCGTTGGAAAGTGTCATAGTCACTTTCACCGAATAATCGTATGGGTTGATTACGTTCCCTTAGAAGACGAATAACCTAAAAACGAAGTTTCAGAAGAACACACGAAATTACTTCTTTACGAGGCATAAGCTTCCCTTTTTCTCTTTCTTCCCGACTTCTTTCTTCGAACTTTTTCAACAAGAGATCCTCCTCCTCTGTCTATCAAAAACATTATCCACTCGGAAATGGACACACACTTTAATTCTAAAATTATAATCCTCATTGTTGTTCGCTTGTTCTTTAATGCGCTTGGATTTGCTAAAATATTCCTCTTCTTCCTTTTGTTTTAACAGTGAACGCTTAAAGAACTTTTTATCACACTTCATCTAAATTACGACGAAAACAAGGATTTTTATACATACCAATCCGCTGCTAACTAGCTTCTCACGTTGCCTCGCTATTTCTGCTTTGACGAGATCCATTGTAGGAACAATTACTTCTGTAAAATGCAAAGCATTACAACCTAAGATTTTCAAGGTTTTTACATAAATTGTCTTGATTTACAATAGGATTGTTGAAAATAGGCGGGATCCGCGGCATTATAACAGCACGATAGCTATGTTTTTGATCATAAGCCACGAAAATACATAGTCATTAGAATAAATACAATATTACCCGACGTCCTGCTTTTGTGGTACTAAATTCTCATACGTTAACTTGTGTTTATAGTGGAAAATAAATACAGTCACATATGATAAAAAAATAATTGACTGGGTAACGACCACTTTAGTGTGACTTAAAAAATCACCGAGGCGATAATTTCTATTAATGCAAGGCTCACTTCTCTGGTATTATTCATTACTATGTTTGGAAGCTTGGACGGGCTTGGCTTATCAAAACCAAATAAAGTTTACGATAAAGCCAGTTTATGACCTCGTGATATTTTTTAACAAACTGTGAAATCATGGAACAGTAAGAGCATACCGTTTTCGACTTGTGATGAGTACCTCTTTCTTTGCTCAGATTTCATACCAAGTAAGGACGACAAGAAAATTAGCAATAAGTACATATGCTTTTAATAATTGAACTGGTAACAGAAGGCTAAACTACTGATTAATACTCAGTTCTTGGAAAAAATTATGTTTAGAGAGAAATCATACCATACCTAGTCTTTTCCACCATTATGGACACATCACTTCTATTTTATGGCTTGTCTTACTAATTATATTTTACTGTTTTAATGTAGCACGAAAAATCTAACTGGTTTACAAGTGCCAGGTACTACGTAGTATTATCATGGAGTTCTACATTACATATTCAAAGTACAAAATACAGTTTGGTTTTCTGCACAAACCGTCTTTCCAACATCCCTAGCTGGTGAAATCTTGAGGCGGTTTCAAGGTAAACTCTCATAAAGACTAAGCAAAGTGTGATTAACATACACTGCGCCTTTAAATCTAAAAGTATGAACATGCCTTTGTGGACTCAAGCCATTTACGCTTCTAAGGAGCAGAAATCATGAGTACGAAACAAAATCAACACTCAAAGTGAAAAGATAAGAGAGCGGAATCAGACGAGACTATAATTTATGGACGGAACAATTAGATTTACAGTAACAGGTTTTGAATTTTGGCGCGAAACTAATTTATTCATGTAGCTAAACAGAGTTCTGACATTATAGCCGATGTAAGTTCGTGAAGAAAACCCTAAATCTAATTTCTAACCCCATCTATCAACTGTAAATATTGGTCCTAATTCCTCACACTGGTTTATAACCCTCATTTAACCTCAGCATGTAGATGGACATTCTCAAGGTCTTCTTAGAGCCACTTAAAGGTTGTCCACAAATTATAGTCTCACACAGTTCTGACTTCCTATTCTTAATTGCTATGTGAATGTGTTCCACAAAGCAAAAGATGATATGGTTTGTGCACCATTGTAACGAATATTAGGTTGAAGCTCATTTTAGGCCTCAAAAGCATTAAAAAAATATGAGCGAAAGCACTACAGAAATATCTAAGCATATCTTAGAAACGTCAAATTTATGGACTAATAGCTTACTAGCGCTACTACATACCAACATTTCTGAGTGGGTTTCTAGTTTATCCACGAGGTAGATAGTACTCATCGTTAAAGACTTCCACCTTCACTGGACCAGAATATCCGTAAATAAAACAGTTACTCACATTTGTCAGACGGCTTAAACTTCTAACAGCATATAAGATTTAGCTTGATTATGATTTGACTGGACGCCAGAATAAAATATCAAAGGAACAGTGGCTTTTATAGGGATATTTCAATACATACCTTGAACACAGAACGAATTTTCCGCCAAAAGATACAATAGGCAATATCTTAGTGTCAATGGTGGTCTCTCACTTGGCAACTGTTGAATTCTATGTCGTTCAGATAATTTCTCCGGGTCATTTTGAATCTTTTAACCATCACCTGCATTTTTTACTGCTTTTCATATCTTGACATTAAATGTTTCAAATAGTTCAAATGGTTCTGGACGGAGTAGAAGAATCTTTCGTTTAATGGGCTTCCATATCTAGAAGCAGTGAATCACCGATGCCTCCAGGTAAGACCCTAGGAATATTTAACGGTAAAAGAGAAGGGAATTAGGTAAATTGTAGTGAGATACTGTCCTTGATCCTTTAGAATATGTCAAGTTTTCTCTCGGAGAGTTCTCGAGATGTAGCTTGAACTAGTTCGTCTGGAAACGAATCTTAGCACTTGACTACCCTAAAGGAGCATGAGATGCGCTTACTTACCGTTCTTCCATGTTGCGTCTTCAGTTTCTAGGTGTTACCCCTAAGGTTTGTATTGGGACTAGGTTTAAGTGGTGCTAAAGGGGATGCTCAGAATTGTTTAGCATACTATAAGTCATTAGAATGTCACCTCAAAGAAGCCTGTACACTTGTGAGTGGGGGTTCGGTGATTGGAGGCGTTTTCCATAAGACTTGAATTTGAGATCCTGAGCTGATTTCATGGCTGACCGTTGGATACGTCTCAATGTGTCCTTGTTCTTTTGGAGCAAGGGGGAAACACTATGTTTCCGCACTTTAAATGGAAATGAATAGAACTGTTGAAATTTGTGTGGAACGTTCTCCCATCAAACTGGCCGAAAATACCCTTCAACGTTACCAATGCAGAGTTTGCTCGAAAGGCTTCAAATCGTAGGGTATCAACACTATTAGATCTTTTTAAACTCGGGATACCTCTAGAGAGGAGTTACCTAAGTGTTTTCGTAGTCTGAAACATGGACTACTTTATATTTTGACTTGTTAAAGGAGAGTCTGTTGTCATCTGCCCAACTGTGAAGTCGAGTCAAACCCTCCTGAAGTACCGGTTTATCCTCTTCGTTGCATACTTTTCTCCAGAGTTTCACATTTTTAGATGTGAAGTGAACCAATCAGTCAGAGGTGATTTGATACCTAATCCTTTGAGCCTAGTGATAAGACACATGTGGTTGACCCTATCAAAGGCTTTTGAAAAGTCAAGACATATTACGTCAACCTTCGCCCTGAGATCAAGGATGGTTGTCCATCTGTCCTACGCGGTCAGTAGGTTAGTTATACAAGAGTGACCTTCTCTGAAACCGTGCTGTTCGAGTAAAAAGAAGTTTATTGGTAGCGAATAGTCTTGTATACCGTCACATATCAGGGACTCCATAAGTTTCGAGGATATAGAGAAAAGTGCAAACGGTTGGTGGTCTGAAGTTTCTCTGCATCGACCTCCTTTGAAAATTAGTGTGATGTGAGCCAGCTTCCGATTTTCCAGTAATACTCCTCGGCCTAATGAATGTGGGAGCATCACTGGTGGGGACGGTATATCCCCAAAATTCATATTTGTAATTTTATCATATCGATTAACTTATCGATTAAATGTTTAAATATTTGAATGGAAGTCAGTGGATGAACTTATCGACTAAATGATTAAATAGCAGTCAATTGACGAACTTATCGATTAAATATTTGAATGCCTGTCGATTGATAAACTTAATGAGTCATGTTTAAAAACATTTTACCATGAAAATATCGATTACACATATTTGTATATATACGTTTCAAATTGTGTTTGTGGGCTTGCTCGTTTTCTAGCTGTTTGCAGAATAAATTTTTCATACCAAGCTTGGACTTCTTCTAGATAGCGGGGCTGGGACGCGTCAATAGCTGGATTACTGGTCTTTGGTCAGTGAGTCTTGTTCTCGTTCGCCGATTAAGTGAACTCGTGAAGCTCCAAACCTAATAATCACGCTAAGCGGTGTTGCCAAGATTGAAGTTGCTTCCCTCATATCCAGACCAGGAGAAGTATTTTTTTGGGCGCTGCAGTTTCCCGTACACCAGGTTAATGCTCATTTCCATTTCTGAAAGTCCTCTGGAGTTGTAGATGAAACTTTTATCAATATAGTTAGTTCTAGTCTGTTGAAATGTCCAAAAGTATTGTTTTACTAGAAGGTTAGCGGCGTCGCCATTGTTGTTGGTAGAGTGCGGTTCTTGATGACTGTAGGTTGCTTTTCGATTTTAAGGACCGTTAGCGGAACAGACTGCTTTGTAGCACATATGGTCGTGTACATTGGGATATCCCAAAGAGCATCAACATCAAGTTGAGGGTGAACTTTCCACTCCACCTGTTGTTGATTGTCTGTAAAGATGGAACATCTAACCATATGAAATTTCAGCGCCTGTTGTTCGTAGGATGTATGAGATCAGTTTTTCTGATAAGATTGAAGACTATGACGGCTTTACCACTTTTACCCAGAAGAGTTGTTAATTAGAAATTCCTCGTTTGTAAATACACAGTCTAAGAGCGACGGCGTTTCTAACTTGACATTTTCGAATAACCCCAGATCTTCAGTGACTTTGAATAACCGAGCTTCAGTAGAGTTGTCAGCACCAGTATAAGTATGTTCAGAGTGGTTGAGTTTAAGAAGGTTGAGTTCTGCCAAAATCAGGATATAAGTGCGTTCGTGACGCGTAGAGCGGTATAATCCCACTGGGCTTTATGTAGATTACCCTAACTAGACATCTCGTGGTGTTAAACGATCGTACTGAGCACCAAACAGATTCATCAAGTTTGATAAATTCTTGGGTTTTCACTTGATGTGCTACCAAGCAAGATCGAAAGTACAGGGCTACTCCACCTCCATTCCTGTTTTTTCTGTTGTTTTGAACCAAAGACATGTTGTGTATTACTTGCTTCCGGTCTGTAATTTTGGAAGATAGCCATGTTTCAGATATTTTTTTCAGATGAGTATTAATAATCTTACTTGGTTCATGCAACTCATCCATTTAATCGGCTGAACTTACGACGTTCATATATAGGCAGTTTATGCTTTCAATTTGAAACGGGCGAGCTTTCTCGTCCTGTTAATCTTTATGAACCTTATTTGAATGGACAAGTAACTTACCCACGTAGAAATTTTCGAGTTGGTTACCCCTGTTCCTTCTATATTTTTTCCATGATCTTGACAATCCACAATTTGAATAGTCAGTTCCAACTTATATGTTTATTCAAAATGCATACTGCAAAACAATAAATATTGTAATTTGTAGATCATGCCTGTAAAAATGACGTGTACCTGCCATTGCATAAATATATTATTATCAACTTGCTTTTGTTCTTATACCTTACATCATGTGGCCTGTCCAGATGCATGTGGATCCCAGTTGGCAACAGAAGTCTATTGGCACCCGCCATACGGGTGGATGAAAATGTTGTCTTCACTAGCTGGAGTCTAAAATCCCTATTCTTGACTGGTTGCACCCCTTGTTGAGTAAATGTGTTCTTGAGCTTTAAGGACTGTGTTGTGAATTTCCACTCAAGAATATCAAAGTCTACGTAGTTAAGATCAGTGTTTTCTGAGAAACCTCACACAATGGTACTTTTTCGCTAAAGCGAGTCTCGCAAAACTCGTTAGGGATGTTTCTGATGACATTGTGATCGGAATATAGTATATCAGGCATCATTCTTACGTTCCCTTCTGATTCCAGCTGGTGACTTG